ATCTCCGACCGTGCCACGGTACAGCACACTGCGTGGCTCAGACTTCTTACAGGTTATGAGCCCAAGAGAAGTGCCCGCAGGAGCTGTGCCGCATGGCACGACGCCGTTTGGCTTGATGAAGACGTTGCGTCGGCCGCGCAAGACGTGCGCCAAGCCCCTCGTCCACAAGCCCGTCCCCGACGAGCGCCTGCCCCAGCCGCGCCGCCCAAGTTGCGTGCGCGAAGACATGGGTGCAGCCCCGGGTGACCGATTGGTCGAACGCTGCGAGATTCAGCGCTTCCTATTGGGCGACTCCACGCAGAGCCCCACGCATGGCTTGCCAGATCAAGCATGCACCCAACGAAGCGAGGCGGTCGCTACCGACTGCAGCCCGCTGACGATTGGGCCCCCCTCTCTTGAGTTTTCGAAGTCGACTGCTGGTCGAACGCTGCCGGTGCCCACCGCCGGCAAGCGCTTCCCGCGAGATCCTTCAACCAAGAGCAAGACCAAGTCTCTGACGCCTGCGAAGAAGCTCACGCTCTCGCCGCGCGAGGAGTTCAGGGTCAACGCCGCAGCCGCGAGAGTCATTGGCCTCGACAACAAGCTGCGCGTACATACGATCGAGGTCGACACCGCCTCACCTCGACACGACCACCCGCGCAAGTGCAACGCGTACCAAGACATTTTCTCGAGTCCTCAAGGTGGCTACGGCGACATGGCCTGCAACCAGTCGCCGAACCTCGAGAGCCTTCGCCTGGACAAGTTTTCCGGCGAGGCAAGGTACCCCGGTCTCGACTACATGGTCCAGTTTGACTCGGCAGTGCGCCGCGACGAGTTCTTCCACTGCACGACCTGGACGACCTGGACGGACGAGCACAAGTACCATGCGCTCAAGATGTGTCTCGGCGATTGGGTATGTGCGAACGAGGCCGTGTGGATGGCCGCTACCAAGAACTACGGCTACCACGACCTCATCCTCCGCATCACCGAGCACTACGCGCCGAAGCTCGAGGACGACCAAGTTTTGGCCCTCATGCGCAAGGCCAAGCGCTATGGCGATACGTGGGCCTTGCACGCTCATTACATGCGCTACCTTCAGCGTATTGCGCGCATTCCGAGCAGCACCGTCCTCGACATCTTTTGCAGCTACGCGTGTCTCGAGCACTCGCCGTTGCTCCTTGGCCACATTGATGAACACCGGCGCAACGATCCCGCCATGCTGGACGAGCTTGTGCAGCGCCTTGTCACGGTTACGGGGTCAGGTTTCTCTTACGGCCTTCGACAGAAGCGACAGCCGCGCAACGACCGCCGCCACGACGCGCCCATCAGCGTCGCGAGACTGCCCACGCAACGCGAGCGCGACGTGGGCAAGGACGACACGCACCATCGAGTCCGGCGCCATGGTGATCCGCGCGAAGAAGACCCGCGCGACGACGCCAAGTGTCAGGACGACGACAAGTGCGACGCCAAGTGCCGCCACATTCCGCCCAAGTTGGACTACGCGCGTTCGCACGCCAAGCGCTGCAACGAGCGCTTCACCAAGCAGGAAGACGAGCGGTGGGACCATGCGCATTGCCACGTCAACTGCGTGCGCATCCATGCTGTCCAAACCGCCGAGGACGACGAGTGTCACGACGGCCAGAGTCGCGACGTTGAGCGCCAGGTTGAACAGCGCGATGACGATGATCCGCGCCAGAACAACCAAGCCGGCGACGACGACCAACATGATGACGAAGCATCGCGCCAGGACAACCAAGATCAGGACGACACCCCGCGTGATGACGCGACGAACCAGGATGACGCCAAGCGCCAGCCCGACGAGCGACGCGACGAGCGGCGGTACCGCAAGGACGACTGCGTGAGCATCCACGCCGTCCAGCCCGCCGAGGACGACGAGTGTCGCGACAGCCAAGGCCGCGACCATAAGCGCCAGGCTGAACAGCGTGACGACGACTGGCTCCAAGACGACAAGAGCCAGGACCACGCGTATCAACACGACCAGTGCGAGAACGACCAGCGTGCCATCGACGCATGCCAAAATGAGAAGGAAGATCAAGATGAGAGCCGTCAAGACGCGAGCCATCATGATGACGAGTCCCAGAGCGAGAGCCTCCAGGAAGAGGTCCACCAGGAAGAGCGCCACGAGAAGGCAAGCCAACTGGAAGAGAACCGCCTGATGAAGTGCCCCTCTACCGAGCACCGTCCCGAATGGCGACGCCACGACGCGCAACGTCTCGGGCCTTCCCGACCGTCAACAAGCTCGTTTACACCCGACTCGTACTACACGTCCAAGCTCGACAACCGCGCGTCCAACGGCACGACCGAACGCCAGCGCCGCATGCTATTCGATGGTGATCCCGCCACGACCGGCCGCTACGCCGACGATGCCATCATGGAGGCTCAAGATGCAGCTGGCAGCTACCACGGACGCTGGAAGCGGGCCACACACTCATCAAGACGACTAGCGGCGCGCCTCCTCAAGAAGAAAGACGGATGTGGCGCGCATGCGCTCACGACGCCCAAGATAGCGACGATGAAGAGCGGCGCCGACTGTCCCGTCAAGAACGGTACGTCGAAGCTTGCTTCTCGACCGTCCGACTACAGCGACGTTGCCCAACGATGGGCCATCGAGCCAAAGAAGAAGGGCATCAAGATACGCGGTGTCGTCGGCCGCATCCTCAACGTCAACACGGAGACCAAGGCATACGATGTGTGGGTCCCCGACCTGTACCGCATCGTGACGTCGCGCCACGTGCAGAACGTGAGCCCTCCGCTGTCCAAGAACATTCAAGGCTTGCAGCTCAACGACGACATGACGCTCGAGTACCCACAGCCTCCCAAGTCCTCGACGTCGCCCGTGGACCCGTGCCTCTACTACATGTGGACGGCCGGGCGCCTCACTATCATCGGCCTCTACGTCGACGACGTCATCGCGATCTCGCAAAACGCCGCTGCCTTCGACAAGGTCCTCGCTACGCTCAAGGCCAAGTTCAACATCAAGACGCTCGGCCCGATCAAGCGCTGCCTCGGCATCAACGTGCACCGCTCCAAGTCTGGCATGTTCCTCGAGCAGACGTACCTCATCGACGAGCTGCTCGCCAAGCACAAGATGTCCGACTGCCATCCGCAGTCGACGCCACTTGCGCTGGACCACAAGATCTTCGACGAAGGCGGCCCGTGCGACATGCACACAACGGAGATGCGCGAAATCGTAGGTTCTCTATTGTGGCTGTCTAGCTGCACGCGCCCCGACATTGCGTACGCGACGAACTTGATGGCGCGGCACCTCAACGCGCCCAACGAGCACCATGGTCGTCAGCTACGGCGCATCTTGCGCTACCTCAAGGCGACGCGCACGCATGGCCTCCAGCTTGCCCCGACGCAAGGCCGCGGCCCGCTCTCGCTCGACGTCTTCTCGGACGCCGACTGGGCTGGCGACAAGGCCAACAGACGCTCGACGTCTGGCTGCATCGTCAAGATCAACGGTGCGCCCGTTCACTGGTTCTCCAAGCAGCAGTCGTCGGTGGCTCTCTCGACCATGGAGGCCGAGTACGTGGCCGCCAGCATCGCGACCCAAGAAGCCATCTGGATCAAGGTTCCTCGAGCAGGTCAAGCTCATGCCAAAGAAGGCCAGCGTCAACCTCAAGTTCAAGCATATCGATATCCGCCACCACTTTGTGCGCGAAGCTATCGAGTCCGGCCGCATCAAGGCCAAGTAAAAGCGTACATGTGTACGCCGCCGCGCGATCCAAGGTCAAGGTCGACATAGCCGAGAAGGTCGACCTTGCGGGGGGGTGTTAGAAATCACACAGCGGCTCCCGATCTAGACCAACAGAACTACACACTATGCACAGATTACCACTGGTCTAGCTTACATAACGAACAATATCACTTTTATATTTGCATTCTACTACACACATCTCCGACCGTGCCACGGTACAGCACACTGCG